CAGTACACAAAATCGGACGAACAGCTAGAACCGTAGTAGCCATCCTGGCGCGAAGAACAATCGAATGAGCTGTAACGTGCACTTTATGTGACCATACTTTCACATGTTACATGCCGCCTAGTCTGTCGTGGAGGCTCATAAGGTTGCGTTCATACTTTGCGTCAACGTTCTGAGCCTACGGCAGCATCCTGAGTGTTTCGAGCGATTAGGAAGGAATAAGTATCGACAGCGTACGACAGCGTTTTGATCGAACGCCAGTGTTTCCATCGACTAACCGTCGAAGCTCCAACCTGCCAAACCGCAATGAAGCTCAAATGCTGCAGTTCGCCCAGAACGCTCGATCAATATCCACACTTTCTCAGCGATTCAAACCGATGCCAGGCGCTGGCGCATGCTTGATCGATACCTATACATTCCTAGTCGCTCTAAATATTCAAAGACGCCGGCGTGCGCTCGTAACGCTCTAAGCGCTGCAGTACGCTCAAAACGCTGACGCAAAGTATGGACCTTGTATACCTATCGATTTCGCCGACTGCCACATCAAAAAAGGTCCTGCCAGTGCACACTAGTAGGTAACCAACAAAATAGCCATAATACCTTTCACCAGACAAAGCCGCACTACACTCTGGAACGTTCGCCACAGGTACGCATTTTCCAGTATCGGCAAAAACTTCACCGGCAGCGCATTCAGCTAGCTGTGAAACTCCATCCGCACAGAATGCGTACTAGAGTGAAGAATATCAATAGATAAAAATAAGAATGTGAAAAAATAAGGATGAGAAGAAAAGATACAATGCTCAAAAACGAGTTGTTACCTGCTGACTGCAAGATCCCAAAGCATGGGCACCATTACCCATTTCTTTGCAGCTGTGCGTCAAATCAGCAATGTGGCCGTAACCTCTTATTTCTGGAGCAACAAATTGAAATTACAGCACAGCTTACAAAAAAGTATATTACTCACTTGCATAGGATTTCATTGCCATTGGTGCGTACGTCGGCACGAGTAGAGGTGGACGAGTGACTGGCTCCCGCTCAACCTCCGGATGACCGCCGCATGCTCGGACGCGGAACTTGTGATCGCACTACAATAATTAAACACTGTTTTATAAGCCTCGAACTCACCCCATACTAGGCAATGCGGCCCAGGGTGCGGAAATCAAATCACCAGAATATTCCCCGAGAAGCGGGCAAGACAGTCGCATGTTGCATGTGCGCCTGCGCGACAGCGCGCAACTGCTGCGCTGTCGCGCGCGGCGCATCGTGCGACAACTTCTCTATTGCATCAACCTCTCGGATGGAACAGTGGAACTCATACAAATCCAGGCAGAGGAAAGATCAACAAATCCTACCAAACTTTGTCGTGGTGCTCGGGTATTCGGAGAAAGGACAAGGCCAGCCAGCTCTTCTCCCCCCTCCCTAGTTAGTATCCCGCGCGTGCTAGGCCCCAAACAGCGGATGTAGATCTTTGCTCACGTCTGGGAGGGGAGGAACCTTATCATAGGGGAACACATTCCTTCGTGCAGAGCGATATTTTTAGATGCCTTTTATCTTCGCACAGCCTAAAAGTGCCCCCGTTTTTCAATGGCGATCTATCAAATTAGACAGGCAGAAGATCAGCAGCAAACCCCTAGTTTTTCACAGATTTTTCACTGGGTATATGCACTTCATCTTTCGGCTGGGCAAAACAACCCTGCCCTCCCCCACAACAAGCAACAATAAGCCACTAAGTGTAGGACCGGAATTTTTCGAAACACTAAAGTTAGCTTCGTTGAGGGACCTGCGACCGCACTCCCGGCACATTATAAGGCATTTCAAACTGGCCTAATTTCGAGTGCGGGACTCGGAGATGGTCAAACGTTTATTGTAAAAATGAGAACTATTGACTTGGACAAAATGTTTCTGTGCTTGTTTAGGTTTTACTGCTGAATATATACGCGCAGGCCAATTTTCTATGAGAGCAGCTAAGGGTGTTATGTGAGCACATCATCAGAAGCTTGAGCTTACTCACGATATGCAGGAGGAAATACTGTATGCTTCCGAAATCGCAGACAATTGTATAATTGAGTTTTTGATTGCTCCACTCAAAGATGCAGTACTAACGCTAGAGTTCGTACTCAGTTTGCTATGAGGTCAAGAAATTCTATTTGTTGCTTCCTATGGAAATCTAGATAACTCCTAAAAAAAGGGAAATGAGTACACAGACACACTACGGTTCATATCACGAGGAGTCAGAGCAGGGACCGTTGAATATTCGCATTTACTGACAGCACCTTGTCAGCCTCTGTTCAGTGAAATACCAGTACTTTTGAAATACCAGTTTTTTATAGTACTTTTGATCAAGTTGATCTTAAACCATTCCAAAAATTTCCCTGTGGCTTGTAGGAATGATATGCTAACTTATCAGACATTGTAACACTGAACCCTACAAAAAGGCAGAGAGACTGTTTTGATCCATAGCATGATCCTCTTTTTGACAAATGTCTACCTTCCGTTCTCTCTGAATCGAAAAGAAAGCGCCTGTAAATTTAGGCCAGCATGGAATGCCGGCAATGTGCCACAAGAGTACGGTAGCTGGTCCTGCAACGAAGCTAAGTACGGTAGTTTTTCGAAAAATTCCGGTCCTACACTTAGTGGCTTATCAAGCAACAACTCACCTACAGCATTTCTGACTTGGATGGGTTGGATCCTTACGCGAATGACTCCGCTTGTTATTCACCGATGTGGCTGAACACCCGCTCAGTAAAGTATAGGGGATCTGTGCCAAAAAGAAAATTTGTGCCTGGCATTCCTATCCCCAGGTTTGTGTCTTAACAAATAGCCATCCCCTTTCCCACTTAACCCCTTGATTGCCACAATTATGTATGCTGTGCACGTCCTCAAAAAGAAGCATCGCTAATATATGGGACAAGCCTACTTCTTGATCTGGCAGAGGGCCAACGGACGGGCACGCAACACGCCTCGTGTGCGTCTGCTGCAGGCCATGAGAACGCTGCGTCGGTAACCCCACCACAGCATAGAAGTGTAACGAATAAAAAGACAAACGTTACAACAAGTGCCAAACTAATACCAGTAACAGCCATAAATGAACCCGCCTTCTCACCCTCTTGGCATTAGATCCTACCCCAAACCACGTACCGTTCTTCGATCCACGTCGTAGAACAATCCATTCTGGCAGGTACTCATGTGAATGATTCCATTACTGCAGAAAAAGAACGATGATGAACACCCAATGGTATATGCACCATCATTACGGTTGGAGCAAGTGACTTCTGCTCGTGCTATAAAATGTTCTATCGGTAACTGCACAATAACCATCATCGAGACGCACTAATTGAAATACCTGCACATCCAGACACATGACTGTCAAAGTCGCATTGGTTACTATCGGGATTGAAAACAAGACCACGAGGACAGGTTTTAATGGTAACTTGACCGTTATAACAATGATTGAATTCATTTGAACACGGTGATGTAGCATATACACCATTTACACGACCATCACAATCACGATCAACACCAAGACCTGGAAGGGTGGACTGAGAGCGGGAAGGCGAAGGAAAAAATAAAAAAATTGCTGAAAATTGTGAAAAGCCATACCAACTGCTAACCCGGTGAGGGTTAGTAGTAGTAGTATCCTCATAGGGTAGTGATGATAATGAACAAAATGGTGAGTGGCCGGGGTTTGACGGACAACACAGCCCCGGCGAGTGAAATGATGACACTGGTGTTCTCGAAGGCTCCACGGGGGCCCTCCCATTTTGATCCATTCGATTCCATCTACGCGCCAATTTTTTAATGGTGAAGTGTAACGGAAATCTTGTTAGTTCCTAGCTGTTGAGTAGCAGACCTACGGTCCCCTCGATTGTGCCTAAAGCGTGCTTTACCATCATTTTAGGCCACGCTAGAAGCCAGGGCAACCTCCCTAGCACAAGTAAAAATAGGCCATCAAGGCGGGCCACAAGGGATCAAAAATTCAAATCGGGTTGAATTACCGATATATCGATACTGCGGTCGAATCAGAAAGGCCCATTTCACAATAGAGATCCTTATGTATCTTTTCACAGCGATTTTCACAGGCTTAGCCCTCCAGTTTATCTTACTTTCAATGAGACCACTGACTATTGCTGCTTACAAACAGATCCATAAAAAAATATTTATTCCGGACAGTCAAGAAAACACTGGATTTACTACAAGGTATTCTCTTCATAATGCACATGAATAACATTATAGCCAGTTAGAACATTCTTTATTGTGATATGAACGCGTTTTGTAAGAATGCATGTGGCTGGACTCCAGACAATAGTGCGGCGCGTGTGCGCCACGTCCGCGTCGCGAATGGTTGATCGCTGGTAGCACGTAACTACAGACACGAATGACTATAATCTCTCTTATACGTCCCACATCCTGCACCGAACACCGTTTTACGCCTCTGTCATTCCTTAGTGAAGCAGCCAAAGGTGAACGGCATTCCAGGTGTGAACAGCTGAAACTAACGACTTTTATTACTTTTTGAAACTGATAGGCTTTTTGACATATGCTTGAATAGTGTGCAACTGGAATTAACTCTTGTGCAGTTAGCACACATCGCACGTTGTAAATCTTCAGTGGTAGGGGGTCGTATTTGATCGCTGGAGGGAATTGGGGTCGTATTTGCCTTCCAAGAGGATGTTTTTGCTTGTTAATTCTTCATTCTTCTCGGTTCTTCCTGTTTCCAGCGCGCTATATACTTCCACTCCCCCACCCCTTTCCCCCGCTTGACATCAGCTTTTTTTGGATAAAAATAAAATTGGGGGCTATTTTAGAAAATAGATCAGGAAAAGTGGTAAGGAGTTGTGAGAATTTATAGCGCTAGGTACGATTGTAAAGGGCATTTGGCTCGCGCAGGTAAAGGGAATTTCGAGAGAGAGAGAGATCGTATTTCGCAAAAATTTTCCCAGCGGCAGGACGTCCTAGGTCCAATAAGTGGCCCACTTTGTAAGTCCTGCAAAAAAGAGCAGGGCCATTTCGGCACAGTTCCACCAGATCCGCAGAATTCTATGAAGTTACGAAATAATACGAGTTTCCTCTATACGCCTTACTGCTCTATTTCACTGCTGGACCACTTCCTTGGATATACTCGAAATACTCGAAAGATATACTCGAAATCCCTGAGATCGGGTAGGCGTGGCTGCGCACTTAATTTTAAAGTGGCGGCGGCCCAGGTTTTCGTGAGATATTTCATTTTGGAACAGTCGTAATCATGTCTACATTTAACACAGAACAAGGTAGCAGTTGTTTCAAATTGAAGTATCCCACGAGTAACCCGTCCTATGCCATGCTCAAAAGCCACGCCTACTCCGTCTCAGGGATAAGGAGTAGAAATAGTTCTCGCCTTGCGTGGGAAATGACTCCTACTAGGACCTCGGGATTCCTTAGTATTCTACTGTACCTTACAAAATGGCCCTGTTTACTGGACGTGCATCGAAGGATGACAATTTATCGTGTACTTTACTCACTGGAGTAAATGGCAGTTGACTGAGTTGTAACGTTCGATCCTGTGCAAGGCGTTTGCATTTGTAGCGACGGTTTTGGAACCAAATTTTTATCTGAAACACATCTGAAGTA